AGGATAAAACAAGAGATAATCATGCATGTTTAAAATCGAGTTCTTCAGATGACAAACTTCCCCTAAAAACTTAAGTTTATGTTTTTAATACTTTTGGTTAATTGAAAAATTTGGAAAAACATATTTTATTCACTTTTTAGGGTTCTTAATTTGGGGTCCTTAAATGCCCTTAAAGAGGGCCCATGAGCCCTCTGAAATTATAAGTAGAAGTGCATGATTTTTCTAGAGAGAGAGAGTCCATAGCTTTCATAGGATTCTGAAAGGAATTAATGATCTGAAAAGAGTCACTGCCTTGGGTGAAAGTTATATACAAAAGGACTGAGCTTGTTTGAAAAAAGAACCTTCTGGATGACTTATGGAAGATGTTAAGAGATAAAGGTAAGTTGGAATAACTTCCCCTAAAAACACTGAAACGTGAAACAAGCATGAAGATGTACTAGTCTAAGCCTATTTAATAAAGTCACATGTTTGTACATATTTGTGTCTTTAGGGCTTGGATAAGACATTAAAACTAAAAGTGGGTAATATGGATGCCTGGGTGGTTCAGTCAGTTAAGTGTCTGCCTTCGGCTCAGGTCATGATCCCAGAGCCCCACATTGGGGCTCCTTGCTCAGCAGGGAGCCTGCTTCTCTCTCTGCCTGCCACTCCCCCTGACTGTGCTCTCTAAATAAATAAATAAATAAATAAATAAATAGAATCTTTTAAAAAATAAAATGTGTATGTGTGTAAGAATGGTTGTAATGACTCATGCTATTCATTAATAGTACAGATATCTCTTGTCATGCTATAGCAAATTTCTGAACTCATTTAACATTTGTCTAAATATTATCCATTTTGTGTTTTTATGTTTCTCTTTTTCATTCTTTATAAAATGGAGCTGCTTTTTTGAAATACAACTGTAACATGTCTCTAACAAAAAGAGCCTCTAACACCAAGCCACTCAAACTTAGTCCTGTGATGTTAATGAATAAGAATTCTTTTTCCTAAATATTCAAGTTAACAGTTTCCTATCTTATTTACCAAAAAAACTCAACCAATATGCTCTTAAGGAAATCAAAGCAGTTTCCATTTATTAAAGGTTATATCTGATATCTATGCTATACAACATAGTATCACTACATTTAGTTTAATGGGAGAAAGATGAACATAACAAGTATTGGTATTTCATATCCAAAACAAGTCAGGTGCAAGGCAAGGGAGGAAATGAACCTTACTAATGTCAAGCATTTAAGCTATGATTCTTTTATTGTTTTCTAATTAACTTTTAAGTATTCTAATTTGGTAAGGATCAATATAGCATTTTCCTAAGAACCATAAGAATTATGAAGGAACTTCAATGATTAATAAAGATAAGAAATCCTTTCACAGTTTATGAGAGAAACCTTTCACAGTAACATCAAAAGGAAAAGAAAGGTGCCCTAAAATAATGGATCTTTTTTTATCCAGGCATAAAGGGCTGGGTGATGGACATTAAGGAGGGCATGTGATGTGATGAGCACTGGGTTTTACATGCAACTGATGAATTACTGAACTTTACATCTGAAACTAAAGATGTATTATATGTTGGCTAATTGAATTTAAATTTTAAAAATTTAAATAAATAAATAATAAAAGGATAAAAGGGTTGACAAAGGATTGACCTCTGTCTGTCACTGAGCTTGTTAGGAAAGGCCTGGATAAAGAAAATGTTATGTCAATAAATCAGGTGAGTGACGGAGGAATTAACCTCATATGTACACTTAGACTATGTTTTTGAAACATGTAACTCACAAACACACACACATTGTACCCTTTCCTAAATATGTAATATAAGCCCCTCACTTTTTAGTTATTTCAGTTCTAATAAGAAGAAACGGGATTTTCCAAACCAACGAACAGAAAAAAATTAGGCTTTCAAAAATGTTCCTGCAGAAACTTATTAGGATTCCTATTCCAAACTACACTGATGAATTAGGTGAACAGAACAGAGAGAGAGGTTTATGAAGAAATCCTTGCCAACCTGTGTTCCAGGGATATTAAAAATAGAAGAAAACAAATGTATCTGAATGCTTGTCATTACTTAAGAAATTTGAAAAGTTCAAGAGGGTCCACAAGTTAAGATCCTGGTGGTGAACTTTTGAGAGCGTTTTGATTTAAATTAAATTAGTGGAGGTATTTAAAGAGGTGCTGATGCTATGGTAACTAAAATAAGATTTTTCATTAAAAATTGTCAAAAATGTTACTAAAACCTCCTCAATATTAAATATCTCATATGTCCTATTCAGGCTCAGTCTATTCTGAAAAATCCTTGTTTTTCAAAGCATAAAAATGTATCATATATGCAGGTAGAAAGGAATTTAAACTCACACCCCTCAACTGGAACAAGAGAAAACTCATACAGCCAAGAAACAAATGCGAAGAAAAATCAGAGAACTAAACAAAAAACATAAAACAAATTTCACAGGCTTGTAAGATAACATTAACAAAAAGTTATAGTAACAAAAAAGGATGATCTCAAACCATCCTTTTTATTAATTACTTTGAAGGTTCATAATATTATTCCATTTCTTACAAGAGAGCCTAGATGGAATCTAGGATTCAACCCTTAACTAATATTACTATAAAAACAGTTTTTGATGAAAGATTGAATGCTTTCCCTCTAAGATCATGAACAAGGTATGGATGGTCTGTTCTCACCATTTCTATTTAACTCTGTACTATAAATTTTAGTCAATGTAGTAAAGCAAAAAAAAGTAATAAAAGGCATCCGGATCAGAAAGGAAGAGAGAAAACTATCTTTATTAGCTGATGATGTAGAAAATCCTATGAAATCTACAAAAAAAAATACTAGCACTAATAATTGAGTATAGTAAAACTGCAGGATTTAAACACATACAAATTCAATCTTTTTATATACCAGCAATGACCAATCAGAAATTGAAATAAAAAATACTTTTATATCTAGAAAACTGTTTCTACAGTCAATGTCAAAGAAATTATTATCTATGTTTTCTCCTAGCAGTTTATGGTTTCAGGTCTCATATTTGTGTGTCTGGTGTAAGAAAGTGGTCCAATTTCATTACTCTGCAATGTAGCTAGCTGTCCAGCAACATCTGTTGAAGGACTGTCTTTTCACCATTGTATATTCTTGCCTCTTTTGTCACAGATTAATTGATCATATAAGCATGGGTTTATTTCTGGGCTCTCTATTCTGTTCCATTGATCTGTGGTCTACTTTTGTGTTAGTACTATCCTGTTTTGATTACTACAGGTTTGTAGTATATCTTAAAATCTGGGGTTGTGATACTTCCAGCTTTGTTCTTCTTTCTCTAGATTGCTTTGGCTATTTGGGGTCTTTTGTGATTCCATATAAATTTTAGCATTATTTGTTCTAGTTCTATGAAAAATAGTGTCCATATTTTGAAAGGGACTACACCAAAATAACAAGCTTTTGCACAGCAAAGGAAACCATCAACAAAACAAAAAGGCAACCTACTAAATAGGAGAAGAAATTTGCAAATAAAATATACAATAAGGGGTTAATACCCAAATATAAAGAACTTCTACAATACAAAAAAAAAAAAAATCCAATTAAAAAATGGGCAGATGACCTGAACAGACATTTTTCCAAAGAAGACATACAAATGGCCAAAAGACACATGAAAAGATGCTCAACATCACTCATTATCAGGGAAATACAAATCAAAACTACAATGAGATATCACCTTACCCCTGTCAGAATGACTAGACTCAAAAAGACAAGAAATAACAAGTGTTGGTGAGGATGTAGAGAAAGGGGAACCCTCTTGCACTGCTGGTGAAAATGTGAATTGATGCAGCCACTATGGAAAACAGTGCGGAAGTTCCTCAAAAATTTAAAGATATTATTACCATATGATCCAATAATTCCACCACTGGATATCTACCCAAAGAAAACAAAAATACTCATTCAAAAAGATATATGCACCACTATGTTTACTGCAGCATTATTTACAATAGCCAAGATATGAAAGCAACCTAAGTGCCCATCAACAGATAAATGGATAAAGAAAATGGGATACACACACCCCCCACACACACTGAAATATGACTCAGCCATAAAATGAGTGAGGTCTTGCCATCTGCAACAACACAGATGGACCCAGAGGGCACGTTATGCTGAGTGAAAGAAGTTAGAGAAAGACAAATACTATATGATTTCATTCATATGTGGAATTTAAGAAACAAATGAACAAAAAAAAAAGAAAAGAAACAAACAAACAACAAACCCAGACAACTGGTGGTTGCCAGAGGGGAGGTGGGTTAGGGGACGAGTTAGTGACACAGATAAAGGGCACTAAGAGTACACTCATTTTGACGAGCACCGGGGAGTGTACAGCACAGCTGAGTCGTTATACTTACACCTGAGACTAATGTACTACTGTATGTCAATTATATTTCACTGAAAACCTCTTCCCTATATTTATTTATACAGAAATTATGCAAAAAAGTCTTCATAAAAATGTTAAAAAATACTTTTATAACATCACAAATATAAAATATGGATAAATCTGTTAAAAAGGTACAAGGCCAATCTACTAAATCAAAATATTGTTGATATTAAAATCTAAATAAATCGAGAAATATGTGGTCATCATGAATTAAAAGATTCAATATTGTTAAGATGTCACTTCTCCTCAAATTCACCTATAGATTCAACATGATCCAAGTCAAAATTCCAGTGGGCATTTTTAGAGAAAGTGACATGATGATTCTAAAATGTGTATGAAAATTAAAGGAACCTAATTAGCCAAAACAACTCTGAAAAGGAACAAAGTTGGAGGATTTACCTGTGTCCATGACTTATTATAATGATACAATAATCAAGATATTGTGGTATTGGTGGAGGGATAGACATACCGGTAAATGGAACAGAATAGAGTCCAGAAACAGATTCACACATATATTGTGACACAACTGATTTTCAACAGATACAAAGGCAATTCAATGGTCAAAAGGATAGTTTTTAAAAAATGGTTTTGGTACTCACTACAGCAGCACATATACTAAAATTGGAATGACACAGAGAAGATTAGCATGGCCCCCGCTCAAGGACAACATGCAAATGCATGAAGCAGTCCATATTTTTAAAATAAATAAAATTAAATTAAAAATGGTTTTACAACAAGTATCTATGTGTCAAAGTATCTATGACATCTATGTGCCAAAAAGGCAGGGGGCTCAGCATTCCTCTTTATCTTGAATTTTGAATCATATACAAAACTTAACTCAAATAGATATTAAACCAAAATGTAAAACCTAAAACTATAAAGAGTCTACAGTACAAAGAAGAAAAATCTCTGTGACTTTGGTTAGGCAAACATTTCTTAGCTCAATACCAAAAGCATGAGCCATGGGAAAAAACTAATAAACTGAACATCAACATTAAGAACTTCCACTCTTTGAGGACCCTGTTAGGAAAGGAAAAGAGAAGAAATAGCTGGGGGGAGGGGGGGAAGCTGCAAATCACATATCTGATAGAGGACTTATATCAGGAAGATATAAGAATGCTCACAACTCAACAGTAAAAACATAAAAACCCAATTTTAAAAATGGCAAGATTTGAACACACACTTCACTAGAGATGCACAGATGACAAATAAGTACATGAGAAAATGCTCAACATTATTAGGCATGACAGAAATGCAAAATAAAACTGCAGTGAAATACCACTACATAACTGTAAGAATGACTAAACTTAAAAAGATGGGCCATACCAGGATATGGAGGAACTGGCACTCTCACACCTTACTGGTGGGAAAATAGTTTGGTCGTTTCTTAAAAAGTTAAACATACAACCGCCATTTAATCCAGCCATTGCCAACTTAGGTATTTACCCAAGAGAAACAAAAGGATATATCTCTGCAGAGACTTGTATACAAGTGTTCACAGTAGCCAGGAAGTAGAAACCACCCAAATGTCCATCAACAGGTGAAAAGGTAAAGAAACTGTGCTATAACCATATAATGGAGTACTACTCAGCATTAGAAAGAATGAGTTATTGGTAAGTGCAACAACATGGATGAATCTCAAAATAATTATGCTGTATTAAAGAGGCTGAGAGAAGGAGGGGGGAGAGAGAGGACAAATACTGTATAATTCCATTTATATAAAATTCTAGAAAATGTGAATTAATCTATGATGACACAAATCAGATCAGTGGTACTGGAAGGGAAAAAGGAAGGGCAGGAGTGAGGAATCTCAAAGAGGTACAAGGAAACTTTTGGGGGTGATGGATATGTTTACTATACTGACTGTGGTGATGGTTTCACAAGTCTAAGCATATCAAAATTTATATAGTGCTTTGGTCAAATTTAACTCATTACCATGGGCAAGAATATTAAAATAATCAATTCTCGGGCGCCTGGGTGGCTCAGTTGGTTAAGCGTCTGCCTTTGGCTCAGGTCATGATCCGAGGGTCCTGGGATCGAGTCCCACATCGGGTTCCCTACTCAGCAAGGAGCTGCTTCTCCCTCTCCTTCTGCCCCTCCTGCCTGCTCATGCTCTCTCTCTTGCTCACTCTCGCTCTCTCTCAAATACATACATAAAATCTTAAAAAAACAAATAAATAAAATCATCAATTCTCTGAAAAACTGAATTACTTCTTCAGCAGGGATACGCAAAAGCAAATGAAATCAGTAATTCAAATTCGTAATATTTTTGATATGTTGATGGTTATTTGCAGGTTTTTGATGGGTTCCGGAGAAGCGAACTACATCTAAGAAAAATATACTGGAAAATGAGCAATCATACCTTGATTTGTGCAAAGGGTCTTTCATAACCCCCAACATAGAGCAGACCAACATTCTGAGGAAGTAACCTACAAAAAAACAAAACAAAACAAAACAAAAACACATTATTTTGAAAATACTCTTCCTTATATAAGAAGCTTGTATAATCATCAAAATTTGTATAACAAATAGATACTGTGAAAAAAAATTGCAATTTTTCTTGTCTTTTTATCTCTATGAGATAGTAACCAGACAAGGAATAATCCTTTTTTTTTTAACTAATTTGGAAACAGATTATCACAGGAGGGTACTTCTTTGTTTTTGTTTCTTTGTTTATTCAAGTATAATTAACATACAGTGTTACATTAGTTTCCAGTATACAATGTAATGATTCAAGAATAATTCTTTTTTTTTAAGATTTTTTTTATTTATTCATTTGAGACACAGAGATAGAGAGAGAGAGAGAGAGAGAGAGAGAGCGCGCGCGTGAGCAGGGAGATAGGCAGAGGAAGAGGGAGAAGCAGGCTTCCTGCTGAGCCAGAAGCCCGATGTGGGGCTCAATCCCAGGACCCTGAGATCATGACCTGAGCCGAGGGCAGATGTTTAACCATCTGAGCCACCCAGGTGCGCCCAAGAATAATTCTTATACTTCAGAAAACAGTGGTAAATGTTGAGAATGGAAACTTAGAACAGTCTAACATATTAGTAATTCTAGCAAAATTACTACATACTGTCTCTGGGAAAAAAATTAAAAGAAGTCATGAATATATTTAAAAATCTTTAAGGATTCAATTCAAGAAACACTCATTGTACATCTCTGCTATGTACTACAGGAGATGATACAAACTTAAGTAACTCAGTCCCAAAATCTAACCGGAAAACCAGACACATAAATAAATAACTCTACCAAAAGGTGGTCTCTGGTAAGTGCTAGATAGATGATTTGCCACTTCAAAATAGTGGAGTAAGAGGGTACTTGATATCGAGGGAGCTGGAAAAGTTCAAATAGGTGAGATGTAGTTCTGCCTTAAAGGGTGGGTAGGCAAAGGGAGAAATTTAAACAAGTCCTGAAAATGCAGAAGATCTGAGACAAAAAGTAGACAAGTACGGTTAGAGATAGTGAGAGATAATTTAGTTGAAGATGAAAACCAAGGAAGTTTGGAATAAAACATGAAGAATGTCAAATACCATATCTTTATTTTATAAGCAATATGAAGTTATATTTCTATAAGATATACTTAGTTCTTATAAAAAATAAATACACATGAAAATAAAAAGCAAACCATACAGAGGGTAAAAATAATAATAATAATAATGGTTACCTTCTCTGTATCATCCTTCCATTCCTATTCCCACTTCAAAGAGATCTATCATTCCTGACTGCATTAAACAATGTGAATTAGGGGCACCTGAGTGCCTCAGGTGTTAAGCATCTGCCTTTGGCTCAGGTCATGATCCCGGGGTCCTGGGATCGAGAGCCACATCGGACTCCCTGCTCCGCGGGAAGCCTGCTTCTCCCTCTCCCACTCCCCCTGCTTGTGTTCCCTCTCTCGCTGTGTGTCTCTCTCTGTCAAATAAATAAATAAAATCTTAAAAACAAACAAATAATGTGAATGAAGAAACACCATTGTTAGAATTGTGCTTGTGGAGCGTATAGTGGTACAGGGTATGAGAAGAACATAATTAAACATTCTTGTGATTATCTCATTTTTCTTTTATCATAAATCTTTTCTCAATGAACACTGTGAGTAAATGAACACAACTCCAGTCTTAACCTTAATGTACATAAAGAATATGAAAAAAACTTTGCCTATATCCCTTGCCCAAAGCAACTAGGCCAAAATACATCTCCTCGGAGGCTAGGTAATAAAAATCAATAGCATTTCATGGCAGGTAAAAAAAAAAATGATCTCAAGGATGACTGTATATTCTATTGCATGAATCTGAGAATGAAACACTGAGTAGTATTTAAAGTGAACAAAAGACTACAAACTCAAAACAATCCCATGGAAATTTCTCAGTGTACCATATTGGTTTAATCATAAAAAATCAGAACACAAGATTATCATAACCATCCTTTTAAATTTATACTTAGTGACTTCAAAAATCCTACTTCAATAATTCCAGGTTATGCATTTCTTCATATTTTAACTTCTCTGAAAACTGGATGCCTCTAATATTCTATGATGTCTTATAATCACTGTCTCCAGGTGACAGGTGTGAGATGGTTCTGTAGTTACCTTCCATTGACTCAGTCTAGGAAGACTAAGAAAGCACACTTTCAAAGCACCTTAGACTTTATGAAATAAGGTAGATAGATATTCAATCTCCCAGGAACATCCTCTGCTCCTCGACATTCTTTAAAGGCTTATAAAGCGTTAAAGGCCACTAAAAGAATGTTAATAGCTGATTAACACAATCCTGATTAAACCAAGTTAGCAAAAAGCTACTTAAGTTTGGAATATAAGTGATACTTGTAGTAATTCATTTTAGCATGTTGTTGAAGCTCATAAACATGACTAAAGTCATTTGTTCACCCAACTATAAGTAGAAAGCATAGGCAATGTCTCTAAATCTCAACTGTGAAATGGAGAATTTCTTAGCCATCAGTTAACATATAAGAAATTAAATCTCTCACAAATCATTGCCAGTATCACAAATTTAATGTTAGTTATATATAGCAGTGGTAATTTATTTCCTATATAACAAATGTTCACAAAAACCTTAATAAACCCCCTTCAGAAGTAAGAATAGTCACTGTTCATACAGAAAGAAGAGAATAAAAGCTGGCTGACATTTAAAAATCAATATGCCTCTAATTACTATGCATATGCATTTCAGGAAGCTTGCCAATATACCATTTAGTGTGCCCCCCTTCTTCCAACTTGCCTATCTAACCACTACCTTTCCTTAAACAAGAAATTTCTTAAATATATCAATTATGTAGCATATACATGTTTCACTTTTTAAATACTGTTCTCTCTCATTCATGTACCTATTCTTACTTACCATAGATTATATTACCACCATCAACTGAGTGGGTTTTAATACACAAACAATGAATCATGGAACACTACATCAAAAACTTATGATGTAATGTATGGTGATTAACATAATAAAATAAAATTAAAAAAAAAATATGTACCATATGACAAAGACCTGCTATGCACAAAATAATTAACACTCTAAAAACACTTTTAAGATGGGACATTTCTTTAACCGTTCTTACCTTTCAAAAAATTATTTTGCCAAATTGTATACATAATTGTTGTCAAATAATAGACCATTTTATGGTGACAGGGTACTTGCATATAATACAGCAATCACACATTTTAAATCCCCAGAGTAGGACATTAAT